CAAAAAATGGTCCAGTCCATAATTTTGCCCTATGCCGTAAATCAGCAGGTTCGTAAATGGGGTCAGGTGGATGGTAAATGCTCGCAGCGTAGTATTCGGAATTTGGAGTTGTTATTTATTTATATTTAGAAAGTACCATCAGCCAGTGATTGTATAAAATATGTAGATGACACGACAGTGTATGAAATCATAAGCAAGGGTGGTCCTAGCAATGCTCAGTCTATGATAAACGAAGTAGCTACCTGGTCAACACTTAACTCGTTTCAACTTCATCCGAAAAAATATAATGAGCTAAGAGTTTCCTTCGTGCGCTCCCCTCCTTCCTACGATCTCATAGAAATTAATGGCTCTAAGGTTAGCGCCGTTAGTGTCGTGAAATTACTGGGTGTGTATTTTCAAGACAACCTCAAGTGGAACACTCACGTTACTGAGATGATTAAAAAGGCCGCTAAGCGCCTTTACTTTTTAACTCAGTTAAAGCGAGCTAAGGTACCATCACCAGAATTAGTGAATTTTTATGTTGCTTGCATTCAATCCGTCTTACTTTATGGATGTCAGGTCTACCATTATAGTCTCCCCGATTATTTGAGCTTAAGTTTAGAGCGTGTCCAAAAGAGAGCCTTGAAAATTATATACGGTTATGATAATCATTATAGAGAAGTGCTTCAGATGGCAGAGCTGAAAACCCTAAGGGATCGGAGGAAGACCTTTGCTTAAAATTCTTTAACAACATCGTCTCCAATCCCTTGGATTGTTTGTACCACTTACTGCCTTTCGACAACCGAGATCAACTTATGGAGTTACGACGACGCAGACCATTTAGAGTTTCCTTTAAAACAAATCGGTTCAGAGATACTTTCATTCCAGCAAGCGCAAGACATTTTAATTGACATCTATTACAATTGTATATGGGCCCATATGTAAATTAGTTCCCTTTTAGGTTTGATTTTATTGTATAGTTCTATTATATAATTTGTACACCTTTGTAATTCAGCTTCCAGCTGTTATTAAGGTATTCTTAATAAACGTCTATCTATCTATCTATCTATTTTGCACCAGAGGGTTTCAGACTCAAACTTTTCATTGGCGTTGATCACTTTAATCTTCTAGTCCTTTCTGCAGATAGCTGTGACTCTTCTGCCAGTATGTATTCCAGTCCGGTTTTTTCTAACCATCACATAGCCATCTAGGCAGATCAACTGGGACAAGATTTTCTTGTTTAGCCAAGATTCCGAAACAAAGCAGTTGTCAATATTATTACTACTCAGTTCAGCATACAAGGCAGGGGTAGCATCATCAGCTTTCGCTAGAAAGCGAGCGTGTATAACCATACATTTCGGAACTGTTTTGGAGAAGTGGGAGTCTTTCACAATTTTCAATGAAATGAACGATCGATTGTCGATTGATTTCGTATTGTTGTGTAGCTTGTTGACGTTGCGTGACCGACAACGCGAACCCGCAATGGGAATATTTATTAGCAAAGTTCGTATAAGATATGGCTTTGAAGGTTGTTCAAGTTTTTTCTCAGGTTTCGTATATTGGTGTGAAATAAAGAGAGGCAAGATTCGAACGACTTATTCCTACGCGAACTTGATTAAAAAAAACTGTTTTACTCAGTTTTTATTCAGCATCGTTGCATTGACCACCACCATTCGAGTTGAAAAATTGGAAGTGACACTAAGAGTCACTGCGATTGTCTACGATGAAATGTGAAATGAGAACAGTAAACGCTCGTTTTGGCTGACTGAAAAAAGTTGCATTCGAAATTTTGTTACAAATCAAGTATTATTTTTTCGTTTTCTCATAAAACGAAACGAATCTATTTTGGCTTCAGGACGATATATTTACTTGTAGGGGAAAGTAGCCAGTTGAAATGAAGTTTGTTATTGAAAATGTAAACAACCTTAAGTACGTTGCTTGTTCACCTAAATATTTATTCACTTTACTTCCACCTTAACTGAGACATTGTAGCTACAAGAACGACCAGCGGATCGGAGCTTTAAAACTCTCATGCTTACAACACTGTCGGGCAACCCGTCAAAGCGCCAAAACCATCGGATGGTCAGTTTACTACAATTACGAACGCTTCTCTTGTGAATAGAAACCACAATACTTGGCTGCATGCCCGAGGTATGTCAGTTACTTAAGTAGCTGAAGGGTACTATTTTTAGTACACACGCAAAGAAATTCAAATTTCGGCGCGCAAATCGTTACTTCGCTTTAATACATTAGAAGGTCGCAATTCCGCGCCAGCACGTGGTGCAGTTTCCACTTCTACCTAACTGATGATTTCTCTGTGGTAGATATCATTGCTGATTTCTAAAGTTTGTATTTGTAAAATTTGTAGCTTATTTGCGTTGATATTTAACCATGCGCATCTTCAAAAACATGCATGCTTACAATTATGAGAGTGTAACAAAACCGATTTGGCGCCAATTCGCCTTTACTCTTACAACGGAATATGAACTGAAGACTTGCCTGCAAACTAAGTCTGCGAGGTCTTTCTTAATTAGTGAGATGTAACTGCACTCAGTGGGCCGGAAGCTGCTGATGAGTTCTGAGAAAACGGACGAACGAGGTAACAAACTTTTAAAAATTTGTAACAGACGCTTACTATAGTGTTGATTTTTTCTGACGTCTAATTCTGCGTATGTTTCCGTGGTTGCTTTCTTAAAACATGTTATGAGAAATTTCACTTAAGTGTTTCACAAGGAAGTGATAATCTTCAGTTTTATGTCTGCTTGTGAACCTTGCGGTGTAAGGTAATTCCGTAATTTGCGTTTGTGTGCATTTAATGAATCAATACATCGGCTATGTGAAAGAAAACTTACGCCTTTCAGCGATGAAATTCAAGCCTGTCATTTTAAAATTGATCCAGCACTGAAGCTGCACTGTTTTAACCGTCAATTTACGGATTAGAGTGAAATGCCTGACATGACACTCAACTCTAAGCGTGACGTGGGTGTATCTTATAGGGGGAAACTGTGTATCTGAAAGAAAGAAGACTGCCTTGTGCGATTGCTCCAACAATGTTTTCACAACAAAGGTGTAAACGTTAAAATTGCGATAGCGCTTGTGAATACTATGCTAAGGACTGGAAATTCCGTGATTTTTGTCTTCTGTAAAGATAAATGACAAAAGAAAGATAGATAAATTTAGAAATGATATACTGCACACACAAAAGGAAACGTGAAGTAACTCTTGGATGATTCGTGATAATCAGTGAGCACTGGCGCAAGTCTAAAGGCACACGCGTGACTTAACAGAGGAGGATCGAAAACGGAAATTGGCGATATTTTCTGTAACAATTATAGTTCAATGTTCTGGCGCCAGCTTCGCATTCGCATGGCGAAAAAATTAAAGAAACCTACGACCCAGCGCAAAAATTTTGACATGAAAATACTCAATCGAAAAACTGCTCAAAATAATGTGTTCCATCCGGTAAAAAGCTCCATTGATCAGAAACATCTATTAATACAATAGTCCAAGGGTCCAATGGTCCAATGGTCCAGTCAATATTTAACCCAATGCTGATTGATTGAATTACAAAATGATTGATTAGCGTAATAATTGTCAACGATCCACTGCCCATTGATAGCCCTTTTACTTGATTAATATAAACACCAATAGTAAATCGTATAATGGCGTCCAGTCCAAACAGGAATCAGCGAGCTAATCTTCTTAAAGTGTATAGTACTCTGTTAGGGTTTCTCTTTCCTTCTCAAATAAGAGCATCTTAAAGCTTTCGCTCTGTTTCTCGTGTTTGTAGGTTATGTTCTGTCTACTGATCCAAATGTAAACAAACTCAGGAGTGTTGGACGACATGGGGTGACGAAACGGTATGTATGAGATAACTTGATAAAAGGTCACATGAATTGCAATGGTGAAGTCGTGGATTTTTAGAAGGCTCGATTAAGAACCTGTCAATATTTATCACTGAAGGGGGGGAGGGGGGAGGGGTTGCTTAATCGGCAGTCAATTTTCTATAGTCCCCCTTTATACTCTCTCTCTGCAATGACTAATCCCCCAATGACTAGTCCTCTAATGACTAATCCCCCAATGATTAATCCTCCAATCTCTAGTCCCTCAATACATATACAAGATCTGCTGAACCACCTTTTCAAGGGAAAGGTGGTGTTACTGACAACCTTCCACGAATTACAGACCAGATGGAGGGACATGGTGGTGCCGCTGCCGCAACCAGTTGGTGCAATGATGCCACGAATGAAAACCAGAGAAATATGGAACGTGAAGTCGATTCGAAGTCACTGAAAGTTTCTCAAGAGAGGAAAAACAAGAATAAAGAGTATTTATCAGGAAGAAGTCACAACACAAGGCCTGAGGAATTTCTAGGCTTAAAGGGTGGAGGACAAGATCCATCTTTCTTTAATAGGGGCCGAGGTTACGGGAATCGTAAATCGGTTACTTACTGGAACGACAAGGACGCAAAGCCTGAGAAGCTTAGACCACGAGATGATATGCGAAACACCATAGATAAAAACGAATCAAATTTCTTTGGTATAAGGCCTTGCTTCCTTGCTCGTCACTCAGATGATAGTAGCATTACCATTCCTATCGATGACATGGGGAATACAGCGGAAAACACCAATGAAGGGTCTTCCAACACTTTTTCAAGGCATCAAAGGTCATCTTGTTTCACTAATGAGCAAGGCTATCAAGCTAATTACTACTTTCAAGCCCCATCGTTTCATTGTGAGAGTTCAAAAGTATCTGCTAACGCACAAGGTCCAAACCCCTATGGCACCTTCGATCCTAACCCTGCAGTTTGGGGTCTACCGGTGACTGCTCGTCCTCTACTTTCTCTTCCCTGCACCGGTTCGGAGCATCTTCAAACCCTTTCCTGCGATGACCCGCAAATTGTAGTGATACCTCCGCATGCTTTGATCAATGGTGACACGCCGTTGAAGCAAACACCCCCTTTTACCACAGCAAAGAAAAGTCGAGGATCAACGTACTGATCCTGAAGTACAACGGGAGAGAAACTCTGATTTTAAAGTGATGAATGGAAATCCTGCATGTTTATCTAATACCACTTCAATTGCACAAGGCCTGGTCTCTCCTGAAATGGAAATCTCCGCTCTGCCACGAGCAGCCATGAACAGAAATCTGATATGGGAAACAAGAATACTTGCAGATCAGGACACTGCTAACCAAGGGCTACCGTCTCTCTCAAATTGTGATTCGTTAGCTGACCTAGAGCGACGAGTGGCCGAAACTTGTTCCCTTGTCGAAAAAACCTTGGAAAAAAGGGAAGAAAAAGAAAAGGCAATGAAGGAAAAAGAGCGAAGGAAAAGAGAAGAGCGGACCAGGAAAGAACAACGAGCACGTGAAAGAAGAGAAAGGGAGGCAAGTGTAACAAGACAAACGGAACGTAGGAATTACAGAGAAGAAGTCAACAACCCGACGAGCGGTGGAGGAGAAACACCTTCGCAAACCTCAGCTGGTGCTGAGGATCGACAATGGCTCTGTGAACATTATAAGCGGCTCTGCCGTGTCAAGTTCCCATGCTGCGGAAAGTTCTTTCCCTGTCATCGTTGTCATAACAACTCTGGGTGTCTAAATGATAATTCCAAAGCAAGAGAGGCGTGTTATGTTGAGTGCTCGGTTTGTAGCCATCAACAAGAGGTATTTAGTCATATTATTTATTCAAAATCTCATAAATGTGGAAATGGACAAGTTACATTTAGACTATATGCGATTTCCTTTAATGCTTTCTTCCTCTTTAAGATCAACCAGGACGCCCAAACCTGTGCTAGATGTAAAACAAAGTTCTCAGCATATTTCTGCTCTATGTGTAAACACTTCACGGGCACAGACAAAAATCCATATCACTGCCTAAAATGTGGTATCTGCCGGTAGGTGAAACGATATTTATGACGAAATTCCTCGTTTTTTTGTATGTTTCATGATATTCCTGTTTTTCAAAAAGTAAGGAAGTAATTGGCCTACTTCAATGCCGAGTGTTACCGTATGAATGGAGAGAAAATTCTGGCGCTAGCCTCAGGGTGAGAGCAGCTTAATAGGAGAGAGAGACGCCCTGATCGATACGCACATGAAACTTACCACTTCCTGTGTTTTCTCATCCTTCATTGCAAAATCGTAATAGAAAAATATTGAGCAGTACTGAATGCTAGTTTTTGTTTCCTCCTAGGCATCAAGTTTCCTTTCATTAGATCGAACCAAGTAGAAATATAGGGTTTTCACTTTGCATTAGAAATTTATTTTCTTTACGAGTCATGTTAAGTTTTAATCGAGTATTTACCTGCGAAGTGAAGTTCCTGTTTTCGTTTCAGCATCTTCAAAGACCGCTCCTTCCACTGTGATGTGTGTAACGTCTGTCTGGACAAACGGCTGGAGGGAAGACATTCTTGTCGAGAAAATTCAGGACATGATGAGTGCTGCATCTGTTTGGAGGTAATGGCTTACTCTTCGTGCTAACACTGTGTTGTTCGTTTCACATCGTTTCTTGTTTGTCGCGTCTACTTGTTAGATGATTGTCCGTGTTTGTGGATTTTGTCATCCTCTGTACTGAACATTTTGTGTTCTCATATAGTTGTGAAACATTAGGTTATTTTTTGTGTTCTATCTATAAATTTAGCTTTGTAGGTCAATATTTATCTCCGATTAATGTAAAGCAACTGCACTGTTTTCATTGCGGTTAAGTCTGGATTCCAATAAGGTAAATGTCTCTTCGTATCATTTATACATTGGAACGTTTCCTTTCTGCGAGTGTAGGAGTGTGGGTTTCAAAAAATCTGTCTAAAGACACCCGTGACACTGGTTGCACACTAAATCAGCTTTGCAAGAGGAAATATTGGCCAATAGCTTTTTTCCTTTTGTTGTAATTATAGCCTTGTTCTCGACAATGAAAGTGAAATTTGGTAAGTGCAATGTTTGCGTCATAAATCTAGCAATAGACTAAGAGAGCGCTGGCGCTTTTCTTTGTTAGGTTCTGAGTACAAAAGAAAGCGTTTTTATAGAACTATTCCAAAAAGAAATAATCGTAAAAGTTAAACCGATAGATAATACCTGTAAATACTTTTACTTAATGGACGTTTGGAACATTTATTTTCAGGACGCATTCAGCGGTTGTCAAATCCTGCCATGCTCACACAAGGTTCATAGAGAGTGTGCTATCGCAATGATACAGAATGGCGTGTAAGTATGCTTACAAATCATAATTTTATATGAGTCAATCAACATAACGAAGAACGCGTTAGTGTTCCCCTCCATTTGACGGTACCTAGTTAAAATTCTGAATCGGATTTGTATATGGAGTTGTGGCGAGGGCTTTTTTGTAGGAGTCAGTTGTCTGACTCTCGACGTCTGGCTTCGTGAACTGGAGTGTCAAAATCAATCATTGCTTTTTGCGTCTTTTCTCCTTTGAAGGAACTTGTCTTTGTTTCAACTGAATCTCTCATTGGTTTGTGATGTTTACTTCTGATTGGCAGTCTAACGACACTCGAGAGAAAAGCTCTCTTTGCATGCAGCCTTGGAACGGTTCTGAATCCACAGCAATGCTGGATCGATTGTGAGCTTTGCAGTCTCCTTTACTTTTACCCGTGATTTGACGGTGATCTTGACTTGAATATTCTCGCGTTTAATTCAAACAAGTTTAAGTTGCATTCACCTGAAATATTTCCTTTAAATTTGCAGTCGCAGCTGCCCAATTTGTCGCCATCCTCTATACAGTCAGACAAATGGCAATGAGTGAATGACAACGTCCACCTCAGGCTTTTCTCTTCCCGCCTCGTTGATAATATGGAGAGGACCCTGGGAATGGAGCTGAAAGGATGATTTTTTTAATATCCTTTTGATAATTGTTAGGTGTTCAGATTTTTTAGACTTTAAGCACAAACTCTTTAACAGCTTTGGTACTTAAATTCAATGTGGGAGTTGTCTGATCGTCCGGGTACGAAGGCACTACCTACTCAGGACTTCTCAGGCCCAGACGATCAGACTACACAATCAAATCTTGCTCCGAGTTTAAATTATATATTGTATTACCTTTTTCAGTTTGATTGATCGGTACGTTTTTACCGATACTCTGGCGAAAAAAAAAGCAAACAAACAAGGAAAAAACTGAACTAATATCATCGATTATTCTAAACGTATTACTATACAACACAGCATGTATTCTACAATGAATCGACTTATCCCAGGGGCTCTTTTCTTGCAGATTTTGGCAGCTTCTCGAGTCATATTCTTAAATCTTAATCTAAGGAATAGTATAGCGGGTATTCGCTCAAAACGCAGCCCGTTCTGTTTCGTTTTCTTAGATTTTCCATAATTTGAATTTCAAAGCCATTGATATCTGAAAAACAGCGTTTTCGGACCAATGATTACCGGAACTTTCAATAAACAGGCTCCTGGGCAACCAAAAAGACTAAATGAATGGAACGTAAAATTTTGCATTTACTTTTCGTATAACTTCTCGTTCATTGGTTGTTACCAGACCACACTCCGCTCGAACGGTGAGCACAACTTATTTAGAGGCTACCTCATATCTCCTTATCCCTGTTAGGCAAAACTATATCACCAGTTTCATTTGCCAAGAATCTCGGGGTATATATTACTCAATATCTTACCAATGATGTACATATCACTAAAACAGCCTCTAGTTGCATGAACAGTTAGTACAGATAAGTAGAATTAAACATCTTTTAGACAAGAAAGTACTTTTATTACTTATAAATAGCTATGTCTTTAGTAAACTATTTTTATTTTCCCTCAGTGTGGGGAAACACATCTAAACGTTATCTACTCAAACTGAAATTGGTACAAAATTTTGCTTCAAGAGTTGAATCAGGTTTAGGGTAGTCCGACCATATCTCTCAGGTACAGAGATCTCTTACATGGTTATTCAATGACTTAGTTTTAAAATTGAAATGTGTAAATGGCATAGTCTTAGAATTGAAATGTGTAAATGGCTTAGCTCCAGATTATTTAGGTAAATATTTTGTTAAAAGTTCAGCAGTTCACAACAAGAACACAAGGGGAGGTAACAATTTTGTGGTCCCTTGAAGTAGATTGTCAATAGGACAAAGGACATTTTACTTTCGTTGTCCAGGGGAATGGAATGGGCTTGCCGACAATACTAAGAGCACCAAAGAAATACATAGTTTTAAGCATATAATTTTTAATAATATGTTTCATACGAAGTAATTTTGGATATATTTTGAGTTACTCTTGATAAATTTTGAATTTGATTGAGTTAATGTAAAAAAGTGTCCTTAATTATCAGTATTATGTAATAGTTAATTACCAGGATTATGTAATAGTTGACATTGTGACTGAAAAGCCCTGTTGAAGGGAGTCTCAATAAAGTATGTATGTATGTATGTATGTATGAATGAAACACTGCGTAAATACGTCGCCTACTGTAGGTTGAGTGCTGAATCGAATCATCATATAAAATACAAAATTATGAATAACGAATGATTTAGTGAATTAGCTTTATGAAGAATACAGCATGCTTTTTAGTAAGTTTCTTGTTTGTTATTTTGCTTAAAAAGGTGTAATCTCAAATAAATTTGAAGTTAAAGAATTTAAAGTTCCACCGTATTCTCAAATTGAACCTTTCAGTCACATGGTCGTCGTAAAATAGAAATAGTATCGTGGGCTTGAAATTTCAACGTTTGGATCAGTATGACGATGTTTAGAGAAACTGTCAAGAAGCCATGCTTGTAATGTAGGACTATAAACTCCTCGGAATTTATATCTCAATCATTCGAAGCTCTAAACTGTCTCTGAGGGTTAAGAAATAGAAATTAGACAGCTCATGAGTTAAATCTTCGGGTCAGGCCACGCGCAAACGCTCTATCACTGGGCCACAGAGACTGTAAGCTTAGTCAGCTCCTACTAAGCTCACATGTGACACATCCCGCAAACTGCTAGGATCGGCAGTGACAAAAGCTGTGTGTGAGTTAATGTTGTAAGAAAGACGGTGAGTCCTATTTTTTTTCTTCGTTCCACGCTCGTAACACTGGAGGCGGAAAAAAATATTTCTTCATTTTCCTACCGAGCTGAAGATTCATCATTTTTCTTATTCTGCACATGATGCTTTCAACATTGTTGATCTTAGCAGTATGCAGAAATGACTTAGCTCATCTTGGAGTCTCTGTGGTTCGCTTGCAGAGCATCATGCAGGGCGCGAAGTTCTGAGCCTCGACTCTATATGACTCAGCATTTTTTCTTTGTCCAATAGTTTTGACCGAATCAAAGAAAAAAAAAACTTTCTTCATGTGTTTATCCAAAAATAAATAAACAACATAAGATTTCCACTGATCAGGAATGGATCTTCTGAGGAAGGGCAACACAAGTATCTAAGGAGTTCGGTACTCTCCACTTTAGCACAAAAAAATAAATTTATATGGTTCAGAGCCTCCTAGCCTTTAGTTAAAAAAAAATTAAGGTGGCTTTGTGCATGATCTACAGATTTTGTAAAAGGTTATCAGGAAGAACAATCTGGATATGCTAACTGTTAGTCTTTGATAAAAAATAAATATTTCAAAAGATAATAAAGATTCGGCGGTGGAGGATGTATATGTAATAAAAATTAGTACTAAAATTATTGTATAAAATTAGATAGTAGTTTGATACCCATGATGCGACATATGCTAATTTAAAAAGAAACATTGTTTCAGGTGATCAAGTCGTAAATTCTAAAACGTGGGGATCAACTTTGACGGACACCACAAGAGTGGCTGCGTTTTTGGGGACAGTTGGAAAGTCAAATTGATGAATCCAGTGCCCCTGAGGTCACGAAGTTCTCCTATTTGAAATAATTAGTGAATTTGAAGGTGCGACATCTCATCGATGGTTTTTTTTTGGTATTCTTTTTCTGGTTGCTTTAACCGTGCAAACAAAGAAATTGCGGTGCACACTGCGGTGACCATTTCTGTAAACTTTTGATTTCGTTCTTCATTCCCTAATTATTTTTAAAACTGCAAGGCCATGTATCCTTGAATGAAGTGAACTGTAACTGGCGAAAAATGGTAACTAAAGTGAATATAAAGTCTCCGTAAAAAACACTCGAAAGCGTATGCGGCGTATTTTCCGGGGAAACTAGTAATTTTCTTTCGCTACTAGAGAAGCACACAAAAATAATATTTTTGCCGAGCGCTTTGGTAGAGAACCTGAATGCAAATAATGAAAAACCAAAAGAATCGAGGTTAAAAAAAGATAATTCGATGATTTTTTTTTTAACTTTGAAGAATAACTCACCCTGATATACTGATTGTAATTCAGCGATACAAGTGGAGACTCCCAAAATCCTTATATACTCGTGTTCTGGGTTCCGGAGAGCTCGAAGCTCCATTCCTTGTTTCTGCAAGTCATAACGTCAATATCCGCGGCAGCTGCGAGCAGATTCATATTATTTGCATTCAGGTTCTCCACCAAAGCGATCAGCAAAAAGAAACTCTTTGTGTATACTTCTTTGATAGCGAAAAAAAATGACCAGTTTTCCCGAAAAATCCGCCGCATACGTTCGGTTGAGAAATCAAACTTCCCTCTATCCACAAATATATCTTATTAGACGATTTGGTGTGTAGTATCGCTGGGTGTTTTGAGGAGCCCGCAGGGCACGTAAAAATACAAAAAAATTATTACTAACCAGAGTAATTCTAAATATGCCTGCACGTGTCATTGGCTTATCGATTAATACAGAACCAATGAGCTTACTTCCGAACTACTTCATTTGCACAGAGGTATCAAGAAAAAATTTGCTGTTTATACAATCGAAAATTAATGCATCAGGTAATGTGATGTAACAGCAAAAGGTCTGACCCCATAGAATTTGTGTTGCGGATAGAAATGTTAAGTTATTTTGGTATGAGAAGAACAGGTCGCATGCTGTACGCAAAAAATTACAATACCATATGATCGATGCGTGGTAAATTTTGCGTTAGGCTTCAAATGATTCAGTGGTGATTGATTGTCGTTGGCGCTCGACTAAACTTCCACGTTCAGACAGCCAGACATTCAGACATTCATTAAAAGTGCACCGACGTCAAAAATATATATAATGTTGCCTTCTGTTGATGAGAAACTTCATTTTCTTTCAATTTTTTTTTTAAGTCAAGTGAAAACAAAGAACACAGAAGACATTGCACGTGTGAAATCTGCAGTGTGGCCAAAAGGGAGGTAAAAGGTCATGCTTAATAACCACATGACAGGAACGATGAAAGCGTCTCCTGGTGGTTTTTTTTTTTATGGCCTTGGGAGAGTTTTTAGGAAAAATAAATCTTTTGTCATAGATTATTGGCTGATCGATGAATTTAAAAGCAATGTTTTTGTAGAACTGATGTCAGTATTCGTGTAGAACTGAGAAGTCAAACCTGACTGAAACAAACTGCGGTTATAATTTTGTCGAGTTAGACAATATACTGGATCGAAACATCCGAGACTAATCCCGAAACTGATTAAGTAAGTACTTTATAGCCAACAAGGTATTAAACAGGTACCGTCAGTTAGGACATATTTTTTTAACATATGTGGCCTTTGGGGAGAGTAAAGCAGTGCGCCAGTATTTACAATGTAAATATTTCAAAACTATAAATGAATTGAGTCAATCGTTCTGAGAATGATTCAGTCCCACCAGCTTCAAATCCACGGATACTCACTGATGTGCAAATTACTACTTTACTCATACATAACGGGACGATTGTCTGAATGTGGACTAAGAAAAATTTTATGAAATCTTCGGGATCGGGATTGGCTGGTATAAACCGTCGGGATTACGGGATTGTGAAAAATTTTAGTCGGGATCGCGGGATTGAAGAATCCATTGGGGACCCCCGTAAATGATTGAATCTCACGTATGACACGTAAAATGCAGAAGTGAAAATCGTTCGACTCCAAATGGTGGAACTTGGCTGATGAGCGTAGTGAATGTAGCCGGAAAACTACATCCAGCCACTTTTAATTTTTCCTGCTCTACTTTCTGTTTGCACAGCATTGGTTTCCTTCAATTGCAAATACATGTATCATGGAAAACGAAGCTAACGGTTTGACAGACTCCTCCGTGGCCAGACACAGTACAGACCGTACCTTACGCTTGGAACTAATTTCTCGTAATCAAAATGGCTCACGCCATGACCAAGGCACAGGGATGGGGGCAGAGGTAAGAAACATTGAATACAGTATAGCCTTAAAAATAAAGAGAGGGGAACTGATGGTGCCTGTCTTAGACTACGTGGCCGGTCGACTAGGGGAAGGAGGGCGTTGTAAAAGCAATTCACCAAAATTGAAGCTCAGATCACAGCTTTTATTTACTGCGACACAAAAACTGGAGCTATGAGGCCGAATGATCCAGAAACTTTGATCGCAGAGGCTTAGTCAAAAATTGATTCGGAAAATTACAAAATAATCTCACGATTATTGTTTCCCGGTTGCGACTGTCCCTTGGAGGTACTTTGCGATATCTTTACAAAAAAAGTATTGTCAGTTTTTATTTAATTAAAACAAAAACATCTCATAGATTTATAAGGCATCAAAACGAGCATTCCATGCGAGTAAAATGATTCTAAATTGCCTGCTCGCAGAGTTTGCCATATAATAAACATTTTTGCAAATTATCCTATTTTGTTTCGTTTCTTTAGATTGTCGGATCAAACAACACTGCTATCAACTCGTCTGCAACCGGTTTCCCTTCGGCCAAAGTCTTCCCAACGAACACTCAAGCTTCAACTCTGTTTGCATTGTCTGCACTGAACATAAGACCTTGGAATATTGAGTCTTTAGAGTCCACGATCAACAGTCCTCTTGCATTGGAACAAGGAGTAGCCAGAGCAAAGGCACAAATGAACAGGAGAATGAGGGAAAGACAACAGCGTGAATTGGAGCGGGAAGAACTTCAAACGGACCAGGACAGAAGGGAAACAGAGATTAGAATGAGAAGAAATAGAGATATGATAGAAAGAGAGAGAAAAGAAGAAGAAGTTCTAGTGGATGGAGAGAATGGCAAGAGGCAAAAGAATAATGCAATAAGAGGAGGGATTTACTAGGTACAAGAAACCTTGTTTTATACAACTTTCCTATTGCTTTAGAAATTTTTGTACAAATGTAGTTAATATACATTTTCCCGCAAGATGCTGGTCTATGTAAACACCTAAAAAATTTAATGGAAGAATTAGGTCTTCCGCTCTGTAATACCCGCAAAAACATCCGCAGGGCATTCCCACTTAAAATGTGAATGACTAATTAATCTTGGCGTCAACATGAACCGAACCCAATCCCCTGCAAGAAAAACCCAGTGAGTTTTTCAATTCTTCGTCAAATTATTCGTAGCCCACTCTCCACATTGCTTGTTTACCTAGACTTAGCAGATGTAACTCCAAGTTTGTATGTATATGGCTCAGGCACAAACACTTTTCGCCTTTTTGTTTTACTTCTTAAAAGATTCATCGTCTCTTTACCTTGATAAAGCAAACAAAGCTTACTGAATTGCTCAGTCCTTGGGTATGTATAATTA